AGTTGCTCTGATCGTAACATTTCTTCAAAGTTGCTCTGATCGTAACACTTTCAACTTATCGACTCTCATCAATAGAGCGACAAGTCCTCTAAGTTGCTCCGATCGCAACACCTTTATCTGTCGATTCCCACCGACAAAGCGATAAGACCACAAACTCACCATGTTAATATGACATTTATAAGTTTCTTCCAGTACTTAAAACAAAGGCATCATACAGGAAGAGTAAACAATCTCTCCTATGATATCAAAGCGGTATCTCATTGCTCCATGTCAGAATATGGTATGCAAAAGAAACAATGAAAAACCAAAACAGCACTACTTTTATTCAAAAGAAAACAAAACAACAAGAAGATAGGTGTTGTTTCTACCAAAGGAACAACACAAAAATAGGCTCATCAATTCATCAAACTAAATGAGGCAAGCTGGGACTTAGTGTCATAAAGTTTCTCTTCATGGTCAACTCGCACCAGCATCTCAGCCCGTTTCCGAAGCTCATCCTCGCTAGACAACGTGGCAGCAATCTCCTTTTTAGCTTCTTCAAGAGCGCTAGCTTCTGTTTGATAATCTACTAGAGAGGTTGCGCTTTTGACGTTGAGCTTAGTGACAATAGCTTCTTCTCGTTTGAATTGAGCCTTCAACCTAGCCAACTCTACTTCAGTGGCAATGATCTTCTCTCGTAAATTCTCTAAAGCAGTATTGGAGAGTGTTAGCTCAGCTTGTTTTTGAGCATGCAGCTTCTGCAGATGTTCCACCTGAATTTCTTTCTCAGCTATATATTGATGAGCTGCTTCATACTTATTAGCTTCTTCGGCCCGGATGTCCTCAAGCGTCGACGCAATCTGCACTTGGATGTCGGCACGACCTAAGGCCTCTAAGAACCTCACTTGTGCCTCTAAGCATAGATTGGCTTCTGATCAATGCTTAACTACCGGAATATCCCCCACGAACTTGAGGTTGTTCAAACTATTTGTGAGCATAGGTTTGAAGGTTTCAAAAGTATCTCGACCGGCCAACACAACCTCAATCACTTTCTTTGTTAGACTTTCTAAATAATCAAGAGAAATCTTGAGGAAATCTGGCACGTCCGTTGGACTCAAAGCAGCGATGGAAGACGGTACAGAAACTTCCGAAGATACAGAGCCAAGTAAAAGACCAGCAGACGATTTCGACGTAGTGGCCTGAGAGGGAATGTCGACATCCAATTGAGATGGGCTCGATTGGAGAGCCATAAGTTCCCCCATTTTGGATGATCTTGGCATGTCTACAACTTCTATCGGGGCCAAAGAAATCATTAATAAAGTCGTCGGTGGGAGAGTTGCCGTTGAGAGCTCCAAGCAAGGTGGATCTGACACCTGAGTTGGTGGTGGTACAAGCTGTTACGTCGAAGGAGGAACGATAGTGGCCGCCTCATGTATCATAGGATCTGTACGAGAAAACGATTTAAATGTAGAACAAAAGTGAGTCATATTTCGGAACAAATGACACTTACCAGTGAGAGGCAGTGGAATATAGGCTGACGCCTTGTCAGAAGAAGGTGGTGATGGGATATCCCACTCACTGGGATCATCACTGTCATCACCCAAGTTATCATTGTTCTCATTACTTTCACTTTGGTCGCCACCATCATTTGTGTCATTTGCACCATCGTTATAGTCCATAGGCTCCTCCTCGTCTATGGGCGGAAATGCAGAAGCAAAAGGAGATTTGTCCGCCACTAAGTCTTGCTGAACAATCATTGTAGGATCTTAGGCCGGATGTCTATCTTCTTCAACACGAGAAGCAGTAGAGGCAGTATCATGAAGTACGTCTTTAGAGGCAAATTCTGCGCCCTGCAAATGATTCATTTCCACGCTCTTCTTCATTCAGGGAACGAGCAGAAGAAACGGGGCCTCCTAAAGCAGGACTAACTGTGGGGAGACCAGGCTGAGGTGAGAGTCCCATAGCAGTAGACTCTCGTTCTTCCTCTTCTGCGTGCCATGATTTCTGAGCATCTAACATAAACTTAGAAGCAGGGGGCTCGAGCACTAACTTTCGTCGAGCTCGTTTATCATACTTAGCTTCTTTAGTCGGGTCAAGTGCTCTTTTTCTAGTAGCACTTTCACTCCGGGTCTTGATTCTCAAAAGTTCCACTTCGTGGGTATCAGGCATCCTGATTTCTTCCTGAACTCCCCCTGGTGATTGTTGCCGTTCGTCTTCAATAATCGCCTCTTCATATGATAAGTATTCGTTAACCCCCCTGGCACGAACTTTTTTGGCATTCCTCTTTGAAGCATACCATTTGCGAATGGCCTTCAAACAGGAAGTATTCATGTTGTAGGCTGAAATTTAAGAAGCAACATGGTACCATGTACAAAAGCTTAAAGAAGTACGAACGTTGGGCATCTTATGTGGTAGTTAGAATTTTGCTCCAGTACAGCCTATCACCAAATAATACCAAGCTCTTGCTCCTTCATACACATTACCTGTGTATGCAAGGGTGGGGTTTGGATTTCCGACATAAATCTGATCATAGCCGAATTGCCAAGAAAAGCGATAAGGCTGATAGGGCTCGATGAAGCATTTCCTCCCTTGTCGGAAAATAAGATAGCCTGGGCGAATATTTATGAGCCACTAGAAGGCACATCTACTGAGTGTAGTAAAAGAATTCCGTCCCGGAGTGTCTTGATAGATCTCTCCATACGCACCACCCTCGAAAACAGAAAACTTGCAAGCGATCTCGTAATTATAACCTTGCCTAAATATTTCGTGGAATTTAACCTGATACTAACTGACCCATCGAGCAGTCTCCAATTGTTGAACAAGAGGAGCTGAAGTATCATTCGATTCAAGGGTTGACATTATCGAAGGGCAGTGTAACACAAACCAAGACACCAAATAAATATATGGCATCGGCACCCGAGGGGTTGGGGTTTGAATGATTGTTTTCCCATCTGAGTCCAATTTCTTAACGGCGATAAACTCAGAGGCTAGTTCCCGTAGACCACTCTACAAGCAACATACCATGGCTGAAAGGAGATTTAGAGACCGTCCATGAGCTAGGAGAATAGCTGGGTATAATACTTCTATTGTAATAGCATCCACCAGCCTAGTGGGTACCACACAACGTTTCAACCAAAGAGTAAGGAAACTAGCGAACAAAGCCATGTCGGAGATTGGGATTTCTGCCTGATAATGGAAACTTTCGAATGTGATGAAGGCTGGAAAGACGTCTTCCTCTACCTCGCAAGTATAGTTGGAGGTCACATCATTAATACGCTCATTGATTTCCTCAAGAGTGCTGGTAGCTAAGCGAGTCACCTCTACGTCCTTGTCCCACAGATTTTAGAAAAGATACTCTGCCCATTGTCCTTGTTTCACACCACTGGCCCTTTTCCCGGTAGTTTGTGCACATATCTAGAAATGGCACATCAATTCCCAGTAAGTGCCATAGATTTCGGGAGCATCATGTTTCAGGATTTCTAACTCCCTATTTCCAGGAACAAACTCCTCATAAGGCATCTCTCCAAAAGACAATCCAGAGATTTCAAACATCTCATGAAGAGCGAAGCCTAATTCACCAGCAGGAGTGAAAAAGGTACCAGTGTGAGGATTGTAAAATTCTAGCATAACAAAAAGTCCGCTATAATTTGGAGAAATCGAGTGGCTATTATTGGAGTTCTCAACTCTGAAATCCTCAAAGGTTCTTCTCGTTCCTCTAAAATAAAATTTATCATTCGGGCCCACCAGTCTGTCTCACTTAAATGTACACATGTTGGAGCCCTGAAATCTTGAGCGGGGAACTCTCCCTTGATAGAGATAAATTTTCTAATGAAGACCTCCGCCAGCTTAGCAGGTTCACTGACAGGATGTTTCTTTTTGAATAAACCTAGCTTCAAGGTCACAAAATGATTAAAACCAGCCGGATGAGTGCCCCGAGGAGTGATGTGCCCAGTAGCAACACCTCCTTGGTCTTGAACGAGTTCCCAATTCATTGATCGTGGGATAGAAGCGCACTGATAATAAGAAATCAGCCACATTCGCTCTAAGTTGGGAAGGAAAAGGCGACGGTTGTTGACAGTCCTCAGCCATTTGTAGTTTCCCTCAGACATCCGCTTTGGGTCCATTTTAACAGAATCCTCGAAAAGGAAGGATGGTTTCTTTAAAATCTCACGTTCTGCGGTTTTAAATTTAGCATCTGTAACCAAGGACCTGAGAGTCTCGGGGAAAGCTTGAGTGATGAATTTCGCCCACTCTTTGTTGGTGTCCTGGAATATTAGATACTCTAAGTGAAAGCTGAAAATGGTATTCTTCTCCGCACCTCCCGCATGACCGAAGTAATGATTGAAAGATAGAAGCTCGTTGGAGTAGCACACTACAAATGAAAAAGAAAATCAGTCAGTTAAACGAAGGAGTCTAACTCAAGAAGGCAAGGTCCGGATCCGCGTCCAAAATTTTAAACGCAAGGTCCAGACCTACGTCCAAATTCCTAAATGCAAAGACCAGACCCGCGTCTAAATTCCTAAACGTAGAGTCCATGCCCGCATATAGAATGCTAAATACAGGGTTTCAACCCGCATTTAAAATTCGAAACGTAGGGTCTGAACCTGCATTGAAATATCATGAACGACGGAGCTAACCATGCGTTCTAAAACCGAGAAACACTAAGGATTATCTCTGTGTTCTAATGGTGGAATGCAAACCACCAATCAAAGATTGAGGATAAGGAATCTGTCAAAACAACTTACGACTGCCTAAACTTACCGTTAATTGAGGAAGTCGGAGACGATGACGTGACGGTTTGAAAATCCTCGGAGGTTTTAGCCGAAGGAGCACCCTGAGTTTGGGCGATCTTCGATTTAGAAGCAATTTTCTTCTTAGGAGCCATTCTAATCATGGCGAAGAAGATATAGAATAGTTGACGAAGGATTTAAGAACAAATTTTTCCTTCGTTGAAGCGCTGGAGAAGATGAACAGGAACCCTGTTAAGTGGTCGACAGAAGAGCAAGAAAGAAAAAAGTCGAATGACTACTAGATTTGACTTTAGTGGTCCATTTATATACAGTTGTAGTTGTCAAATCAGTACGGGATTTTAGGCAAAAATCCCACCTAAAAAGCGATTTTCGCGTTTTCAAATAAGGGATTTCAACTTCTAAACGCATCCTCGCATTCAGACGGTCAAACGCATGATTTAGCCTTGCGTTTTGGTGATCGACCTCAGTCTGATTACACAACTAACCCTTTCAAAGGACTTAACATTCCAACCAAGAGTAATGATGATATTGTTAAAATCATTACCCCAGTTGAGCTGATCAAGAAAGGAGATAAAGTGGGTTCCTCTGAGGCTGCCCTCCTGGCCAAACTTGGGATAAAGCCTTTCTCATACAGGCTTGTGGTTCTCTCTGTCTATGACAACAGATTTGTCTTTAGCCTAGAGGTGTTCAACCTCACTGAGGATGACCTCGTTGATAAGTTTGTAGCTGGTGTGTCTATGGTTGCTTCACTGTCCTTAGCTCTCTCTTACCTAACTCTTGTAACTGCGCCTCACATGTTCATTAATTCCTACAAGAATTTTCTGGACAACTGAATACACCTCATCGCAGGTCGAGTGGAGTATCTCAAGAACCCAAACGAAATTCGATCGAGTGGAGTATCTTAAAGACCCAGACAAAATCGTTGCTATCATCGCTCTTGTTTGGTTCGTCAGCAATGACTGGAGCTTTAGCTTGTTTAACTAAGTTTATTGTCATCAAGTCACAAAAGTTATCTCATCTGGTCTAAGGAAGTCGAATCACTATATTCCGACAACTAAGTCCGTGACATCTTCGAATCAGACAGAGTGAAAAATCAAGTAACAATATTTTAGGATCCAAAGTATTCCGAAAATTCGTCCCAGTCAACCATGAACTTTCGAAAACTTTGGAGGGGGTTCTGTAGGCTGTCTAAAAATCACAATAGATAGTTCACCCCTATCAGACTTCAACTGATAGTTTTGACTAAGGAGGTTACAATCAGATGACTTTCTTGTTAACAAAGGGAAGCTACAATCAGAGGATTCTCCTATGGATCAAGAAGAGATTACAAGGCAATGATTTCTTCAAACCAAGATGCAGAATTCATCCTTGCAGTTGAAACACAAGTAATTTCCAAAGTCAACACAATCACTACATCCGCAGCTCCATATCGCTACAAACGCAGCTCTACAGCTGCTACATCTGCAGCTTCATCCGCTGCAAACGCAGCTCTACAGCCGCTGCATCCGCAGCTTCATCCGCTACAAATACAGCTCTACATCTGCTGCAAACATAGCTCCATATCGCTGCAAACGCGACTCAAGATACTACGTTTAGACGCATGATCATACCCAGAATGCAAGACGCTGACTCGTTCAAACGCGATCCATATGGTTTCGAGAAAACTGCTGTTCACCCATGATCTGGTGAGTGGTTTAAGTGGGTTATTATACCCGATTAATAGGGTGACTAAACCCTCATATAGGCGCGGATTATGGGGGAAGTTACACCCTTAATACCCCTATAAATATTAGAAAACTCAATAGAGTTCGGGATCAAATTTGGAGATCGGATTCCGGAGAGGAGAAAATTTGGAAGCAACAATCTTTAGCAACAAAAGATTACCAGATATTTGATATTTGGATTCTCAACCGAATTATTTCAGTTCAAACAACTCTTTTCCACCAGAGTTTGTCACTCGTCCTGAGTTACAAAACTCATCAAGAGTTCTTGATCAGTTCGACCACACAAGTCAGTTGTTCCAGTGAATTGAGACATTCATATCATCAATAGAGAGCAAATTCGACGCGAGTATTCGAAGGAAGCACTCTATCGCTACCGTGAAGAACCCAGAATTAAACAAAGGGGAGAATTCAGATCATTCTCCTCTCTTTTGTAATTGGGAAATTCAATTGTAATTGAAATCGAGAGAATACAAATCAAATTTCTTTCATTTTTTTATTTACTACAAATTTTCCAACAAACAATACTACAACCGGATATCATACCCTCCGCAATATACAAGTTAGACTTATTAAGAGTAAAACTCAGCCTAACCAGCTGTATCATAAGAGCATCGTCACCATAGAGAAGGGAAAGTAGCAGATGCTACCATAATGATATATAAATATATCTAGGTCGATACTCCACACGAGTGTCACTAGTCCAACTTATTTCTACCACATTGAACCTACATTGGGACTAAGTCTCCAAATAAAGGCTGGGTTACCACTGTCAGTGACCTTACCATAATGATATATAAATATATCTCTCTCGATGAATCCAGAACCACACTCGTGGATAAACTTTTAATCAAAGGGCTAGCAAGATTCTTCTCAGACTTTACAAAGTATAATATCACAACTTTATCTAGTAGGTGTTGTACAGATTTATATCTTATTTGAATATGTCTATTTAGTTTTTTATTAACATGCACTTGCTTTAGAAGCTCTGTGGTAGATCTAGAATCAGAGTGAATGGAAATTGGAGGAGAGGCTTTAGGGACCAAAAGAAGTTCAGAAAGTAGATCTTTTAACCATTCTGCTTCAGTGCAAGTGGTATCAAGATCAATCAGTTCAGATTTTATGGTGCTCCTAGCAACTACTATTTGCTTACAGGATTTCTAGGATACAACATCATCACCAAAAAGGAATACATATCCAGACGTAGACTTTACACTGTTAGAATCCATGACCCAGTTAGCGTCACTATACCCTTCTATAGCATCAGGGTATCTAGTGTAAGTCAAGCAATAGTCAACTGTGTTTTTTTAAGTATTTAAATACCCTCTCTAAGGTAGACCAATGATCTTTGCTAGGGTTGTTGGTATACCGGCTCAGTCTCCCTATAGCATAAGCTATATCGGGTCTAGTCCAGTTGGATATGTATAAAAAAGATCCAATCAGCTGAGAATACTTCAGGTGGGAGACAGGTCCACCTTCATTCTTCTTCAAAGATATAAAAGAGTTATAAGGTGTGGAAACAAGTTTAGAGTCATAAAAATTAAATTTGATCAGCATTTTCTCAATACTATGAGAAAGTCTCAAGGATATTCCTCTAGTGTCTCTAGTGATTTTCATTCCAAGTATCATGTCGGCAAGACCTAAGTCTTTCATGCCAAAGTTCTTGGAGTGATAATCCTTAACTTTTAAGATTAATTCAAGAGTTGTTCTAAAAATAAGGATATCATCAACATAGAGACAAAGGATGACATAGTCATTATTTATCACTTTAGAATAAACACATTTATCGTGTTTATTCACAGTGAAGCCATATTATGCAATGACTCTGTTAAATTTCTGATGCTATTGTTTAGGAGCTTGTTTAAGACCATACAGAGATTTAACAAGTTTGCAGACTTTATTTTCCTGTCATTTGGCAATGAAGCATTCAGGTTGATACATATAGAATTCTTTATCTAAATCACCATTCAGAAAAGCAGTTTTGACATCCATATGATGTATGATCAGCTTATGAATAGCAGGAAAGGTTAATAATATTCGGATAGTTGAGGTTCTGGCTACAGGAGAATAGGTATCAAAGTAATCGATGTCCTTTTGCTGAGTATAGCCTTTAGCTACTAATCTAGCTTTATATTTATCAATGGAACCATCAGCTCTAAGTTTCTTTTTGAATATCCACTTATAACCAATAGGTTTACAACCTGGAGGTAAGTCAGTGAGTATCCAAGTATGACTTTCTATGATAGATTTTATCTCATTATCAATGGTTTCTTTTTAGAAAGGCGATTTAGGTGAATCCATTGCTTCCTTAAAAAGAGTTTGGATCGTCTTCAACAAGAAAAGTAAAGAAGTCTTCTCCAAAATCCTTTTGAATTCTACCTCTTTTACTTCTTCGAGGGTCAATATCTAAAGGTTGAGAAGAACTGGAAGATGGTAGATCAAAAGGACGAGATGAACTAGGATTTTCTGAGATTTTGGATTTGAAATAAAAGCTGTTTTCAAAGTAGACTGCATCTCTTACTTCAATGATAGTATTGTTGGATATGTCACTGATTTCAGAGTTAATGACTAGAAATCTATTAATATTGCTATCTAGTACATATCCAATAAAAGCAGCATCTACAGTCTTAGAACTAATTTTTCTCTTCTTAGGTTCGGGAATAGCTAACTTAGCCAAGCAACCCCAAACCCGGAAGAAGTTCAGACTAGGAGTTCTCCCCTTCCAATATACATAAGGAGTTATATCAGAAGATTTGTGAGGAATCCTATTAAGAATGAAGCAAGCAGAAAGAAGAGCTTCACCCCAAAGATTTTCAAGTGCTCCTGAACTGAGTAACATACAGTTTACCATGTCCATAAGGGTTCTGTTCTTTCATTCAGCTACCCCGTTAGACTGTAGTGTATAGGGAGCAGTTACCTCATAAATAATACCATATTCTTAGCAATATTCAGTCATATCATTTGAGGTATACTCCCCCCATCTCCCCCCCGATCAGATCTTAGAGCTCGTTTGGTACCCGGGAATGAGTGAGAATGGAATGCAATTCTAACTCTTTTTTCCCGCGTACCAAACACGATGTATTTTTAGATGTTAGAATTAAAATTCTTACTTCTTATCAATTCTCATTTTATGTGAGAATTGTCATTCCCAATCATTTAACAAGAAATTAATATTCCCACTTAAGTGGGAATAAAAATAATCAAATAAATTCCAATTATACCCTCCTTAAAAGATACAAATAGATATAAATTCCCATATGAAAATTATTTTTATAAAAAATTAACTTATCTTAAGCTACTAGTACAAATATATAAATAAATATAAGCATGAATATAACTTGCCCAAGTTCCAATATACAAACATCGTTCCTAAGTAAATTTATATCAGTGACCTTGCCATAGTTCAAATATATTGTGATATTATTTTTTAATAAATCTCTGATATTGTTCATTCATTCCTAAATATTAACACGGACCTTGCCTTAGTTCCAATATCTTTTAATAAACTAGATATACTTTGGAGTGACAAACTAGTTTATCATTTTACAATTTCAAAACTTAATATTTTGATACTTTGATGGTTGTCCAATTATTTTGTTCGTACTATTTTATGGATATTTTGGTTAGAATTTGGATATTTCTAATAATTTGTCAAATGTGATAGTTTATGCATATAAAATTTTAAACTATAGATACTATCGTTTATATTAATTTTGACATATGGATGATAAATTACACTTTTTTCCCTTTAACTTTCCCCCTGAAAATGAAATCTCAAAATTTCTTTTATCATGGAATGTTATGAAGAGTGCCCAATTATATGAAATATCTCTTATAAGGCATTCTTCTCTTCACTAATGCACAATGAAGTTAGTAATATTAGCTACTCGTACAAATAATAGACACGTAGTACTAGAAGCTAGAAAAGTGAAATTATAATTATTTATAATTAAAAATAATTTCTATGAAAATTATTTATCAATTTGTAAGCCAAAAGTCTGAAATTGTTGCCGAAACGGTGCACTAAACTATAACTATTACATGAAAATTTATTTCTCTAAGGAAAAAATATCATTTCTATAAAACTTATTTTCTAAAAAAAATTTATTTAGTCATTTTTAAAATATTTTTAATTTTTTTAAAATTTTGTGTTTTGGTAAGGGCATTATTAGAAAACTAAATTTTATTCTCACTTGTGAACAAATAATACCAAACGTGAGAAT